GCTGGATTTGGACCCTCAACGGCAAGCACCTCCGTCTTGTCTGGATTCAATCTCAATATGCTGTTGCTCATCCAGTCCATTATCAGCTTCAGGCCGTCATTCAGAGGAGAGACTGTAGAAAAGACCGCGATCGGAGTGCCACTGGCATGTTGAAAACACCCAGCACCAACCCTCCAGATGATCTCTCCCAGCGGCTTCATGTGGAAGTGAAGCGGCGCTGGAGAGCAAAGCGGAGCCCTGTGGGTCTCCACAAATGAGCCCCTTTGTAGAGGAGCAACAGCCATCATGCACCACCATCCGATCCAGGATGCAGGAATGGCCAAGCCGTGTCTCCAATTCCCCCCACCCCAGGATGATCCAGAAGGATGCTATGGTCAATAGTATCAAAGGCCACTGAGAGATCCAACAGAACCAACAGGGACGCACTTCCCTGTTGGTTCTGTGTTGCAGATCATCCACTTGAGCAACCAAAGCAGCCACAGCTCCTTGTTCTGTTCGGAAGCCAGTCTGAAATGTGCCCAGAAAGTCAGTCTCATTCAGGACTGCCCAGAACTGGGGAGTTACTGCCTTCTTAATCACCTTACAAAGAAATGGTATATTCAGGACTGTTGTAAAGTTGTTAAGGCCCAGGGGGTTGACATTATTTTTTAAAGGAGGGGCCATATATTAGCCTCCTTCATGCAGGCAGAAACCCTACCCTCTCTGAAGAAGAAATTGATGAAAAGTCATAATGGCTCCCTCAGTCTCCACCTGCTGGACTACCAGCCAAGATGGAAACAGATGGAAAGGGCAGGGAGTTTTCCGCACCAGTCCAAGCAGCCTACCAACATCATCAGGACTTAAAAACTGAAATTGATCCAAAATAACCTCATTCCCAGAGTTGCTGGACACTTCTGTGTTGATAGCTACCTCCATGATCACATCAAGCTCAGCTCTTATCTAAGAAATTTTATCTGCAAACTGGTTAGTAAAAATGTCACAGCAAGCAAGTGATATCACTAAAGCTAAGTTGGGGGCGCTGGGGCTTGAGACAAGTCCCTCACAACCCTAAACAGCTCTGTCAGATATGAATCTGCAGACACAACACAACTAGGGAAGTTGTGTTGCTTATACTTCACTGCCTTCTTCACTGCTTATACTGCCACCCCACAGGAGTAAAGATGTTCTGAGTGTTTTGTTGGAGATGGAATCTAGACTCAGCACTCCCAAGCTGTCGTCCTTCCCGCTTCATACACTGCAGTCCCTTTGTATACCAGGGAGTGCTTTTGGAAGCAGGGCGGAGAGGACACTCAGACGCAATCATGTCTAAGGCCCTAGTCAGCTTCCAATTTTGTGACCAGGGACCCAACAGGATAGCTGGCAGAACTGGCCAAAGAACTCCCTAGGACTGACTGGAAACCTATTGGATCCGTAAATCTCCAGGGGCAGACCATTCTAACAGTTCCATCATCTCTGCAGGGACACAACAAAGGGGCTGTGATTGTGGCCTTGACAACGTAATAATCTGACCAAGCCAAGACGGAGAGTGTGTAAGTCTCAGTCTTCAAGCCAATCGTTCAGAACTGAACATAGCATTGAGTGGGTGCCTAGAAACATGTGAGGGTCCAGAGACCAGCCAGGACAAGGCCCACAGCCGCCGTGGTGCCATCAACTCATGAGCAGCACCTGACAGACTGGACTTGAAAACAACACTGGGTGATTCCAACGCCAGTTCCAATGCCTTCAGCCAGCGTTTCTGCTAGGAAATGAGGTAGTCTATATACAAGCAGAATCCCATCTGTCCCTTGAACCAAAGTTCAAGTACACACATTCAGTGTATTTCAGTTCCTTGACAGGGTATCTGGCCAAAGCGATCTTATTCTTACAGATCACAGCCCCCTCGCCCCTCTCACCCACTTTTCCTTACCTGCCCCACAACACAAGGGCCAGTTGGGAGGTCCTGTGCCCATATAGGACTGTTGTCTCCTCCAAGCCAGGTCTCTGTGGGACAGGACAGGCCAATGCCCTCATCCCTAACAATCACAGGTTTATTATTGGCCAATGTGTGTTTACAAAGGACCAGTGAAACCAACTGTGGGTGGCTCAGACTGTTCTGCAAACGACCAGATTGGCTGGGCAACCTGCAAGGGAGATGACGATGCCTCCGTTTCCTGCAGTAGTTTTTCACCCTGCCAGTGCCGTATCTCCGTTTGCCCCAAAGTTCCTGAATGGGTGCCCCCCTATACATAATTCCCAACCATAATTGAAGGACACGCACACAGACTCTCTGTAAGGATCTTCAGCATTCTCAGTAATGAATTTAGTTCTCCTTAATCACTGGGGGGGGGGGGGAAATGAGAGGAGCACATTGCTTGGAGGAGTACTGCAAAAATCTAAACACCAACTGAGAAACAAACTTTTCCTCCTCGCCTGTAAGGCACCAGATCCTGAAAGAGAGGAACTGGATCTATTCCACACATGTAATTAACCAAGATGGAAAAGTGCTCATTAGGCATGAAGCCCATTTTCTGCAATGAGGACAAGTCTTATATCATCAGCTGGGCCAAATAAATCTGCTTCAGAGCTCTTTGCCAATGTTTAAAAGTCCTGGTTTATGCATTTCTTCCATAAGAATGTGCATGTTAAGAAAGCCAAGAAGGTTATTTTAAAAAAACAGCATACACCTAGAACTTTTCTTACCTTCATCTTCTTATGCTATGCATCTGGTCTGGGGTGACCTATCACTAGAGCCCAAGGCATATTCTGCTTTGTGTGAATTCACATTTCTCATCATCATCATTCACTGGTTTGAGGTCTCGGCTTCATCGTATTCCGCTAACCCTCTGCTTCAAATGGTGTAGTAAAATCTCTGTTGCCTTTTTTTTTTTTGCCAAAGCAGGGCAGCACATTCATTCTCATTCAGACACCGGTAGTGAACGAATCCTTTTATCTCTCAAGGTTACTGTGAGGAAGAACACGTGGGATTCTTCCTGTAAACCAATGCATGAACAGGAAAGAAATGCCAGGGGATTTTGTTGTTAGCTCGCCCTAGTCTTAAACAATCCTCTAACAAAAGAAATAAAAAATAAGCCAGCCAGGTATTTTCACAACTTTAAGCAGTTGACTGAAATGTGTTTCCATGAAGGACAGCAAAGGATCATGTGCAGCCTTAATAACTCACACACGTATCAGAGACACAGTTACAGACAATTCCAAGGAGGAAAAAGGGTAGAAGAGAATAAAAGTGGCGTATGTGGCATCATAAAAAAAGCTTAGACAGGATTTGAAAACAAAAAGGACTTGTATAGGAAGTGGGAGGGAGGTCAGGCTACAAAGGAAGAATACAGGCAGGTAGCACAGAATTGCAGGGATGGTGTCAGGAAGGCTAAAGCTAGGAATGAACTGAGGATAGCGAGGGATGCTGAAAGCAACACAAAAAGTCTTCTTCTGACAGGTCCACAGTAAAAGACGAAGGAAAACATTGCGGATTCAACTATGTAATGTGGATGGCAAAGTGATAACAGATTACAAAGAAAAGGCCGAAACACTGAATTCCTACTTTGGCTTGGTCTTTTCCCAAAAGAAGAGCAGTGGCCTTCCTGTTGAAGGGGAAGTACAAGCCGAAGGGGCAGGATGGCTGTTCAAGTTTGACAGGCAGGTGATCAAGGATCATCTAATCGGGTTGAATGAATTCAAATCTCCAGGTGAACTCCATCCTAAAGTCATAAAGGAGCAGGCAGAAAAACTCTCAGAATGACTGTTTTTAAGAAATCATGGAGGACAGGGGAAGTGCTAGGTGACTGGAGAAGGGCAAATGTTGTCCTCATCTTCAAGAAAGGAAAAGAAGAAGAAGAACCTGGGAACTAGTCAGTCTGACATCAATCCCTGGAAAATTCTGGAGCAGATTATATAGCAGTCAGTCTGCACACACCTTAAAAACAGTGCAATGATTACTAGACGCCAACATGGATTTCTCAAGAACAAATCCTGCCAGGCCAATCTAATCTCATTTTTTGATTGGGCAACCTCCTTGACAGACTGTAAGAATGTTGTGGACATGATCTAATTTGACTTCAGCAAAGCTTTTGATAAAGTGCCCCGTGATATCCTGATTAGCACACTAGTTCAAAGTGGGCCACATGGAACAATCATCAGGTGGCACTAGAATAGGCTACAGAAACACACTCAGAGAGTGCTCATCTTCTCAAACTGGGGGGAGGTAACAAGTCGGAGGATTCAGTCCTAGGCCCAGAGCTCCTCAGCATTTTCATTAATGACTTGGATGACAAAGTGCAGGGAATGATTATAAAATTTGCAGGAGAGCTAATTCCAGGTAAGACAGGTTGGAGTGCCGGGCTGAAAACAAGAGAATGAAATTTAAGAGGGACAAGTGCCAAGTTCCGCACTCAGGAAAAAGAAACCAAATGCATTGTTATAAGATGAGGAATATTTGGCTCAACAATACTGTAAGTGTGAAAGATCTTGGAATTGTTGTAGATCACAAGCCGAGCGAGTCAACATTGTGATGTGATTGCAAAAAGGGCAAAAGCTATTTTGGGCTGCATTAACAGAAATATTACTTCCAAATCAGGAAGAGTACTAATTTCCCTTTACTCAGTGCTGGTTTTAGGCCTCATCTGGAACACTACATTCATTTCTGGGCACCACAGAAAAATGCAAGCAAGCTGGAAAGAGTTCAGAGGAAGGGAACAAGGATGATTGGGGAAGAGGAAACAAAGCCCTGTGAGGAGAGATTGAAAGAACTGGGCATGTTTAGCCTTGAGAAGAGAAGACTGCAGGGAGATCGGATAGCACTGTTCTAATACTTGAAAGGCTGTCACAAAGAATAAGGCCTGGATCTCTTCTTGTTCATCCCAGAGTGCAGGACATGGAATAATGGGCTCAAGTTACAGGAAGCCAATTTCCCACGGAACATCCGGAAGAGCTTCCTGACTGTGAGAGCAGGACGACAATGGAACCAGTGACCTAGGGAGACTGTGCACTCTCCCACACTGGAGGCATCCAAGATACAACTGGACAGCCACCTGAGAGGGCTGGTTTAACCTGGGGTCCCGCACTGAGCAGGAGACTGGACCCAGTGGCCCTCGGGCCCCTTCCAACTCTACTATTCTATGTTTCTATTGCTCCATTATGCTTTTGAGCAGTCAGAGTCCTTTGTACAGGTGTGGCGCGCGGGAAGTGTTGCTTTGACAGAGGCAAACTCTGGGACAAAGGATTTCTAGAGCTGTGGCAGTGGCCAGAGTGCCAGCACTTTCTTGCAGTGCAGAAGGTGTGCTCAGGTGACTTCAGTGGCTCTGCTGGAACCTACAGGAGCAGCAATGCACCAGTTCATGAGCCTCAGCCAGCCTGGCCCATGACCAGGAATGATGGGAGCTGTAATCCACAGCAGGTGGAAGGCAACAGCTCCCCCTCTCAGGGCATATACAGTGGTACCTCAGCTCACAAACTTAATCCGTTCCACGACTCTGGTTGCAACCCAAGTCAAATTTGAATTGGTTGCAAGCCAAGTCAAATTTCCCCATAAGGTTCAATGTAAATAAGGTTAATCCGTTCTGTAAATATTTTTTTAATCACAAAAATTTGAAACAGAGTAACAAAGACCAACAAAGTAACAAGGTGCAGTACAGTAGAGAACACTAACCTAGGTGGGGGGGGAGGTTATTGTTTGGAGGGAGAGTCCAAACGATAACCGTGCAATAGCGATTGTGCTGGGGGTCGGGGGGAGATGGCTGCGATCATGAGACAACACGGCCGCGATCGCGATCATCACCCAATGCGGAATTCGCAAACTGAGGCAATTTTTTTCTGAAATTTCCGTTCACGACCCCATTTGGTTGTGAACTGAGGCATTCGGGAGCTGAGGTACCACTGAACTCGTTCTATGCTCCCATGGCTAAAGGGCAATAGTAAATGTAAAGTTTATATTTTTTGCAACATTTCTATGTCACTCCATAACCAAGGCCCTCTGGACAGCTTTCAAAATATTAAAGCCTACAAAATACACAACGGCACTGCATTACATAGAAACTAGCCAAATACATCAAACCTTTAAAATGCTGGTCAAGTTGTGGAAGAGTGACAGACCAGCTTTTCCACAGCATTCCAACCCACCTCTTTCAGGTGTGACGTATCCACTGGTTTGTTTGCCTGACCTTCTGCATCCTTGGAAGAAGGTGCCAGAAAACTGGACCAGAGCATTAATGTGTAGCACAGCACATGCTTCTAAGAAGTGCCCAAGAAGACATCCTGCTCCAACCTGCCTTGTGAGTCTACAAGGGTTAAGATCCCTTAACCGTACACAGCTTCTAACACAGCAATAGCTCTTAGTTCTACTCTCTATCAAGAAGCCAGATATTTAACGTCATATTCTGCTACCTTTCCTTTTACAAGAGAATAAAGTTCCTCTACAAGAAGCCAAATTATTGCTCGATGGTTATTAATATTCAGAAGTCAGCTTAGGCTGCATCGCATTCCCATTCTTCAAGCATTTGTTGCTGTGGAAAAAGCTTTAACGGACAGGATATTCTAGACAGCTGCGCTCCCCCATGCAAGCGAATACAACTGGCTTAGGTATTATTAGAGAAATGCTCTCATGTGTTATCCCATCTCCAACAAGGATACTGCAGCTACAGAATCTCTCTCATAGCTGAAGAATCTCCTTCAATGCTCCTGCATTGAAACATGCAATAAAAGGCATCCTGGGCCCATTAATGCAAATATCTTCCTCCAGGTTGGGTCAGAGATTTCTCCTTTGCCTGCCAATTAGGCTGAATGGTAGAAGGAAGCCCCCTCTGCCAATCCATAACGGGGTGTGCTGAATGCAAGGAGAGGCATGCTGGACTGGAGCACAATGTTCAGTATTCTATCCCCACAGGGGCTACCCAGATGGCAAGAGGAAGCCTGGAAGCAGGACATGAGAGCGACAGCACCTCCGACTCATGGCAGTTAGCAACTGCTGCTGGAGAACACGCCATGTCCGATACAGGAGACGACGTATGTCCATTATAACTCGTCGCCACTGATGGCTTTACCTTACGTGAATTTGTCCGATCCTAAACATGCTGTTGCTGCATCGAACAGTGGCAAATGCCACAGCTCAACCTTGTGCATCAGCATTTTGGGGAGAAGGATCTAGGCCTTACCTTGGCCCACACGAGTCTCCAACTTCAGCACCGCCACATTCAGAGCAACCGTGCTCTTTTCAAGGGGAGGAGCAAAGTGGTGCTAATTGGGAATTCCCTGCATTATGTGCCTACATGAAATACACTTTCAAAGACAATCCTATGCGTGTTTAGACAGAAGGAAATCCAGCACGTGAGGACATGCTGGAAGCTGAACTAACTTTTTTCCTGCCGTGGGTTGTGGGGCAGTCTGGAAGCCACCCCAAGAGCAGCAGGTTCAGACAACACAGGTACCTGTGCCTGTCAGAAGTAATCACAGAAATGAGGCAGCGCATGATCAGCATACATATGGTCATCTTTTCAAAGCATGGACTCCATAAGGGTACGAGGAAAAAGACTGCAGAAGGCCTACAAGAGCCCTGGGCAGCACTCACAAGGCACCTTGCAAGCTTCAGCTATGAGTAATGCCTCACCCACCCCTCTGAACCATGGACAGGATACGTAGTGCTTGCTGAGACACCGGGAGATGTACTGCTATGACCACAACTTTTGACTTAGCATATTTATGGGATACATTTTATTTATGGTTCATTAGCAGTCAGTTGCTCTTTATAAGGAGACACCAGTGCTCATTTCGAGGGCAAGAAAGCATTCAATTATGATTAAAATGACAGAATGAGGCTTCTCAGGAATGGGCTAGAGGCCAAGCTGGGTTTCTGAAAGGACAACCTCACATTGGACATGGGAGTGAGAGATCAACTCCATCTCCTTAAAAAAGAAAAATGTAGGCTCCTCTTGTTTAAAATGAAAACATATGCTCTTATTTTCTTTAAACACTGTTTTGTCAGTGCAGTAACCACGCAAAGCATTTCCTATGCTTGTGGAAGGACTCGTATTACATATGCTAAATACATTATTTTCCATGGAATTCTATGGATAACTACCATGAGTACTAGTTACTGAGAGGAATTTTCATAATTAAGTACAGTATCATTTGGAACATTAACTGTTGTGGCAAAGCAGAGGCTGCTGTTACATTCTTGCTTTACTTATAAGTCGTTCAGGTTACCTGAAGACAAAGCGCTGGACTAGACGGCTTCCAACCTGCATCAAAAGAACAGGCTGCTCACCTGTAATTGTGCTTCTGCAAGTGGCCATTTGTGAATGCACATTTAAGAGCTATGCCACTGTGCAAAGCCGAATTCAGGACATTCCAGAGCTTAGCCAAGGATGTGGTAGAAGCCCTTCCTCCTCAGCACTTTTTGAAAAAGGCCGTGGGGACCGTGAACCCCTGAGGGGTGAAAAAAGGAGAGAGAAAACTCAGGGAAAACAGAAGGGGAAGGGAGAATGGTCAGCTAGATGCTTCAGTGGCAAGAAGAGAGAACAAAAGAGAATATATAAAAGGTTTGCCTTGAGGCTACACGGTTCCAATCTGCTGCAGGAGCCGAGCCCTGAGTGTGCGCAGAGAAGGGGGCAAGATTTCCATCAAAAGGGTCTGCTAAGCTATGGAATGTTCCAAATGCTTTTCTGTGTAGCCCATAACCCTCATATGAGAGTCACAAAGACCAGCTTTTAATGAAAGGGTCAAGGGGTTTTCAAATGAAAGGTGCAGAAGCTCTACTCTGAACACTGAAGCACGACTGTAGATAGTACCTGAATATTTCCGATTCAGTGAACTAAAACAATGCTTCTTTTTAAACAAGAAAACTAGGAGTAGGGTTTATAGGAGTCTGTCCCAGAGCCCATATAAAACAATGAACAATCCAGGTTGAAAATCCTGTTTTGTAATGTTTACACAGTCAAGTAGGCTGCCACATAAGCACAAGCAATCGCCACTGCCTGTGGCAGCGCGCTTCAGGGTTTTGCATCCCGGGAAGCTGCGCAAGCCTTCCCTGAGAATCCTTTCTCACTTTCCACTGATGACGTGGAAGCCACTGCAGTCACTTTGTTAGATCGTGAGAACGTGGCCAGAACAAATAGCCCCAACCAAATGGGAGGCCACCCCCATGGTTGCTGGGGGCGGGAGGGCGGGTGGGCAGGCGGGCAGAGCAGCTGCGCACGAATGCACAAACTCCTCTCACCAAACTCCTCTCACGCTAGCCCAGCGGCACATGAGGGGTCCTTCCAGCATGTGGCCTTTCTCTGTATTCTCCCCATAGGAACAGAGTTCCTTCAGCATCTCTGCACTGCTCCAAATGAAATACACCAAGTGTGGGAGGCCGAGGGAGGGTGTGGCTCTCTCTGAGGTCGCTTACTAAGGTCTAAGTCACTAAGCAAGGGAAAGACTCAAATGGAGGACCTCCCCATTTGGAGACCTGGCCCTGGTATTATGCCACCAATACCACGAACGGCTCTTCACAGATACACGTCAAACCGTAAAAGTAGAGAGCATTTCCTTTACATTAATATGCACACCCAAATTAACAGACTAACTGGAAGGCATGTTTTCTCAGTCATATCTTCAGTGAAATTTACTGCCCTTTAAAGGTAGCCAGGATTATAGGGGGATTTATCAGTAATAAATCCGTGCCCCAGCTCGTGGTGGGATGCTTTAATTCTTGGTCTGCTGAGAGATCTGACGGATCTGCAGTAGGTACATAAAGATTCTGACTCCCGCCTGCTTAAGAAGTGCAGCAACGAGTGTCTAAGATTATACTGCTGGAATGAAAAGAGTGTAGGATAACAAGGAGAGCATTTCTGTTTGGAAGGACTGTGACTTCCATCAGTTCTCAGAACAAATTTCTCAGCTACGAATTCTTTAATTTTAAATGCCTTTTGCACTATACTCATGCTGCTGAATTTCAGGATTCTAGAGGAAGCAGTCGATTCTTCAGGCTTAAAGTCTGCCTAACATTAAGAGTGCTGCTGGAGCCAAGGTCCAGATATCCAGCTACACAATAACAAGGCACTGCCATTGGAAGCTTCCACATGCTTGCCAACGCTCCATCTCCCAGGAGAGGTGCTCATTTTCTCATATTTGCAGGGCACCTTGCCAAGACTGCTTACATACAGCTTTTAACAAAATTAAAGCTTTCTTTGCAAAAAGATAGTGTCTTGATAGCTCTGTTCAAAACGTACCTTTAAATAGCTCAATGCACTGTTGCTGCTCTTTTTAATTTGTATTTTTTGCCTTTTAAATCTGGGATATGGAGTGTTTTCAAACTGGCTTCTGTGCACTGTTATTGCAAGCCACCTTGATAGCCTGCTTAGAGCCAAAACGGCAGGGCACTCTTTTCAAGAAAGAAAAGCTGCAACTGATGAATATTAATGATCTGCATTCCAACTCAAGCTGGTCAGGAAAAGTTTATGAGTCCAGCCTGCTGAGCACTGGTGGGGAGGGGGAGGAGAGAGACGACATGGGAAAATACCCAGCTGCGTCCCCACACAATGTCCAGGTGGCCCATTCCAGAATACGCAATACAGCAAGAAAGCCATCATGAAAATCTCTTGGTGCAACAGAAGCAGGGAACAGGTGTAGGAGAGGGTGGGGAACCTGTGGTTGCTGGAATCCAACTCTCATGAACCCTTGCCACTGTAGTCGGGGACAATGGGAACTGTAGTCTTATGCCACCGGGAGGATCACAGAATCTTCAGCTCTGGCATATGGCCATGGTAGCTGCCACTGCAGGGTAAGAGCAAAGTACACCATACAGCTGGTTTTGGTGTCCATTTGCCTCACTGGCTCAAGTGACACACACATGAGGCTACAGAAACTGAGACCCAGGTTTGCAATCTGCAAGCATATGTCCTTGTTTGGATAAGAGATTAGTACGAACATACGTTAATAGGTTAGTCCAAAGCCTGGACTACCGATTACCCAGTTCAAGCCCTGTTCAGTGTTCAGTATTCAAACTGCAGCAAACATGGGGATCAAACAGCCCCGATCAATTTTACTGAAGCACTTTTAAACCATTCACTAAAATGTATTGTGAAAGCAGTTTCCCTATTCTCCCCAAATAGGATTACTAGTTTTCTAAATCCTACTTTAAATAAAGAGATAGTCTTGGCATGTGTGTTTACTTTGCATAACTAAAGAAAAGAAATTCCGGGAGTTTGGGGATTACCAAATGGTAATGCTTGCCCTGAAAGGGCAGAACTGCAGCACTGGAGTTCAACAACATAGCAGTTACATTCATAATTGTATGAAGAACTGAAAAAACCCCAACCCTGTTAGACCCTGAATATAGGCTTGTTCTTTTATGTGAGCAAGCCAAAAATAGCATTTTAGTAACTTACTACCTATATAGAAGTGGGTAGGCGAGGTCTGGAGGAAATCTAATTTGTAAATAAAAGCAGAAAAAAAACTGAAAAAACACATGTGCCAAAATATCGCTTTAACACTGACAGCATCGCTAGTGTTCTGTGCAACTGAAGAGCCTTCACAAAACAAAAAAGAAGTGAGCATTAACTTTTCATTAATGTTTCTATCTGCTGTCCTCCTTCATTATTCATCTTTGCATCAAAGTGCACAGATCTGTTACATCACACTTAGCCACGATTCGCACAAACAAGATGTAGGGTTTCAGGTCAGGGTAAACTAGCTAATGGCTGTCAATTTTCTCGCTGACCTACTTGTGAATAGCCACTGCAGGAGCAGAGCAGAAAGTCTGGCTCTGCTTAATGTCTGTGGGCGTGCATGCCACTGAAGTCAGTCCGTGTACCACACCACGATTTACTTGCCTTTTAATTAGACGGCAAGACCTTTCACGATCAAGTGAGGTCCCCGAGAGATCTCCCTTTGCCTGAATGCTGTCAGAGCCCACCCCATTTACCAAGCCAATCAAGACCTGCACTATAACTAGAGACCCCTTTCCCACCAACAGTCCCTTCAAAGTGCCACTCGGGACCTCTGGAGGGGCTGTCCAAACAGAGATTGCTCTAAGGGGGAATAGATGGTGCGGCAGAAACCATGTCGAACGCCTTGTCTTTTCCCCTTTGGACAGGCCCTGTGTATCCAAACCACAAGACAGCCCTACTCTTTGAATCTGGTCAGAAGAGTGGCCCGTAGTGCTGGATCATGTATGCCCCACTGCAGCGACAGCAGAAAGTATGGGCAGGGTGACGGGAGAAGGGGACACGGGCTTGCAAGGATGATCATCAGTCCCCAAGGCTGGAGAAGTGACTGGTCTACAATGAAGAAGGGTGCGCAAGGATCTAGGAGCGGTCTTTGGGGTGCAGGCACAGGACCCACTGATCCTGAAACTGTGAGTTCCGAGAGCGCTGGCTGAGAAGGAGCCACTGGGGCCCCAGACAGCAGTGGGGCTGGCGCTTGAAAGATCTCCTTGGGTGAAGGGCATCCAAAAAACTGCTGCAAAGACTTTCCTTGGCTACTACTCCGACCACAGGGGCTGTAGCCCCTCTCCTGTACTTAGCTCCAGTCCTCTACATAGTCATTATGGTTGGGCAGTAGAGGCCATCCAGAGGGTCTGGTCCAGCCTGATAAAAGAGACTGGGAGTTAAGTCTGTTCCAAGTCCCTTCCCTCACGGGCAGAAGCTGAGGAGCCATCGAGATCTTGATATGTGACTTAACAGGTGAAGTGATTGTCACGTCTGTGTTGAGCCCAGAACCTGTAAGAGCAACCTCCATGTGTGGATCACAACCCTTGACAGGGCACCATCCCAAAACCTGTGGCCCCAGGAGAATATTATGCCTAGTTCAAGGAAGAATTTGAAGAACGGTGCTGCTCTGGTGGTGCCCGCAGGCAGATGGAGTCACAGACAGCAAGATGTGTGCCCAAAGAACAGGAGCCTGAAATATCATGGGACAGGCAGTAGCAGCTCTTCTGGAGCAGCAGCATTTTGAGCATGCTTCCTTTTCTTTCACTCAAATTGTTCAGAGCCTTATACATTTTCTTGGTGAGGACTGCTTCAGAGGTTAAGGCAACTACAGGATCAGCTACTTACAGATGATGGCCACGGACAAGATAAGAAGGATGTGGTCTAGCAGAAGAACTGCAGGCTGATCCTACTGTGGGGAGCTCTCCCTGTCCCCCCACCTCTGAGCTAAGGCAGGAGAGATTCCCATGTTTCCAATGGGATCCAAAGAGATCCATCCCAGCTGCTCCAGGTGGAAGTGCCAGGAAAAGAAAGGGACCGGGAACATCAGTGAGATTTGTTCTCTCCTCCTCCTCTGCCTGAGGCCATGAGGGAAAAGTGCGGCATTCTGGTTCAACCCTCCTGAATCCTGAGTTGAGTCAGCAGGAGCAGGCAGGTGGAAGCCGGGAGCAGTTCAAAACTCTGCTCTTCTCAGTGAAAGGAGGGCTAGGAGTGAGAGTTTCCTCCTTCCAGGGCAGAACAGATTTTTTCCTGGCCCTGCACTGTGACACTCTGGAGGAGTTAGCCCTTTGCAGCCAGCTCCGTTTCTCCACTGTCCGAGAAAGACCTTTGGTTTCCTTCAGTGCCATGTTAGAGAGAAGGAGGGCATCATGGAGAGCATTCTCACCTGTTCTATAACATGCGCAGGCATACAAGCAGTCAAGGATTCACTCCCTGTCCTGACTGGCACTCTGAAGCAGTACAACTTAGCAACGGAGGCATCACCCAAGTCTGCTGCTCGCAAGGGGAGAGGTGGACCAAGCCACGAACCTTCTCCTTCATCCTGCCTCTGAATACACAGTGAGCATTTAATATAATTGATATTTAATGACACTCTATTCAACAGTATTTCTTCCAAACTTTCAATGCAAAACCATAGTTCAAGAGACAATTCTAATCATGTGAGCATAAGTGAAGAAGTGGGTTAATTAAAAAAAAAACCTGAATAAACAAGGTACAAGACAATTCATTTTCTGCTAGTTCTAAATGCACTGGCTTGACGCTATCTTATCTCTGTTTTCTGCACAAGGACAAGTTAAGTGCGTGTCAAGAGGTATCTGCAATCTTCTTGAGGAAGAGGTTTGTGAGCTTCATTACCATGGACAGGTCTCTGCAAGTGCTTTATCTATTAATTCTCTTCTTAGACACAAGTGCACATGCAAGTTAATCGACGATCTGTTACTTTTCCAGTGGTGACCCACCACCAAAATGGCAGAGTCGCATATGGGTGCATGAAATTCAAAGCAGAGGAAACAAAAATCTGCAAGAGGGGTGATTTTCTTTGTTGACAGGACTTCTCTCCTGGAAAGGAAGACAAATTCTTTTTCCTTAAAGTTATTTTTAAAAGGAATAGAAAAAAACAAACAGAAAGCATTAAGGATTAGCCCAGATGAACTGTCTTGC